TTAGGGTCGGTTTAGGGTTTTAGGGTTTAGGGTTTAGGGTTTAGAGTTTAGGGTTTAGGGGTTTAGGGTTTCGGGTTTAGGGGGTCTATAGAGAACCACCTACATGTTGAAGGCTACACAATCATGAAATACCATCGAACTACTATTGCCCCCCTCCGGTTGAGCAACATATCATGCAGGCTTCATCCATACCTGAAACCCTAAACCCTAAACCTAACCCTCAAGCCCCAAAACCAAATAAACCCTGACCCTGTAAACCCTAAGACCCAAAGCCCTAAACCCGAAAAGAGCTCCGACAAAGGCCTCACAGGGCCCGGGTGCCCCCTTTCCCTCATACATACCGATAAGAACCCCTTAGATAGCTCTCAAGGGGTTCTTATCGGTATTTAAACCCTAAACCCTAAACCCTAAACCCTAAACCCTAAACCCCGAACCCTAAACCCTAAACCCCATACCCCCAAAACGGGTCCAACCACGGCTGAGGGAATCTGAGCCGAGGCTCCGCACGAGCATCACCATGTCAGAAGCCTGCGTCCAAGGTGGAATTTGAAATTTAGGGGTTTAGGGTTTAGGGTTTAGGGGTTTAGGGGTTTAGGGGTTTAGGGGTTTAGGGGTTTAGGGGTTTAGGGGTTTAGGGTTTAGGGTTTAGGAGGTAGCAACATGTGGGACATTTGTGGTTACCTTGAGCTTGTTGTCGTATCTTATCCTACCCAGAAATGTAAGATACAGTACCCAAAAGAAGGTTCTGCATTCACGGGTGTGTATACAGGCAAAAATCTGTGTGTCCTTTTTGAGGCTGTCAAAGTGGCGTATAGGGCTTAACCTACACCCGCAGCACCAAATTCCGAAGCCCACAACCCTGCACTACTGCACTGCAAAGCTAGCCTGCTCCCTAAACCCTCAACACCAAACCTGAACCCTAAACCCTAAACCCTTAAACCTTTTACGCCCTAAGCCCTAAACCCTTAAACCTTTTAAGCGCTAAACCCCAAACCCCAAAACAGCTACATCCCTAAACTATCGGCTCTGAGCAAGAGACTCCGGTTCCTTAACCCCAACTTGGGGCTTTGTACCTGAAACAGCGATTTGGGGGAGGTACTGTAGTAAAGGGTTTACGTTTAGGGTTTTGGGTATAGGGTGTAGGGTTTAGGGTTTAGGACCATCATAAGCAGGTATCAGTACCGAATTTTCAGCTCAGAGTCCGATACTATGATCAGAAACCCCTACAGAAAGCCCCTAAGCTTTAAAACCTAAACCCTAAAATATTGAAGCCTAGGCCCTGAGCCCTGAAGCCCGGAAACTCTCAATCCCCGAAGCTCCACGAAAAGAAAACCGAACACAAAACAGGACCCCTTAAGGAATCTTTAGGGTTTAGGGTTTAGGGTTTAGGGTTTAGGGGTTTAGGGGTTTAGGGTTTAGGGTTCATTCTTCACGCACTTTCACGATGGTACCCTTCATATACCCTTGTTAGCCCGCCTGAATCTTCCTTCTACAACATGCAGCGAAGAAAAACGTAGTTTACCATTCCCTAAACCCCCTACCATCCCCTTTGTGGAACCCTTCTTACAGAACCCCTAAAATCTCGCCTGTTTGACAAAGGCCCTTTCAACAACGGACTAAGGACCCATAGCAGCCTGATTGTGGATCCCTTACAGCCTCGTTAGGGTTTAGGGTTTAGGGTTCAGGGTTTAGGGTTTAGGTACCCTGACTATGGAACCGTACCTTAACCTACCAATACCTGCTTTTTGGGCATAGCCCCGATCAAAGCCTTGTGAAGGTGTATAGCAATACGAACCGAAGAGAAAGTAGGTTGAGGTAGTTTACGGTAATATCGTGACCTTAGTAATTAGAATAAGGTTTTGGGGCCCATTATACTATAAACTATGCTTATTATGCTAAGGAACCACCAAAACCCTAAACCCTAAACCCTAAACCCTAAACCCTAAACCCGAAACCCTAAACCCTAAACCCTAAACCCATAGGATTGGCAAGAGTTCAAAAGGGCCCCTATATTAGTCTACTTGAGTGACTCGAATTCCGCAGAGCCTCAAACTTTTGGTCCGAGTTGTCGCTCTCTGTTGTGCAGGGCGGTCCCTGTGGGGTTTTCGGTTTAGGGGTCTAGGGTTCAGGGTTTAGGGTTTAGGGTTTAGGGTTTAGGGTTTAGGGTCTTGAGCCCGTTTTTCTGTTTGTTGTTGCTTTCTCTGTTTTTGGTATGTGTGTGTGTGTGTGTTCTTCTGTTGTTGCTGACGTGTTTTCCTAGAATTGCGTTATGCAAGGTGTGTCGCAGGGTTTGAAAGGGTGTTTACAGGGTGTTTGTCGGGCTTTGTTGCAGGGCTTTAGGGGCTTTTAGGAGTTTAGGGGTCCTTGTGATGAGGATCCTACCACGTACAGTACGTCTTGTTTAGGGTACCCCATCTCTGAAACTCCCATATCCCGGATCTGAAACAAACAACTTCAGACTCGAAATAGCCAAACTTGGTTGAAAGACTGAGTGCCACGCTACTGAAGGGGCAGGGGTTTAGGGTTTAGGGTTTAGGGTTTAGGGGGCGGGCCATTGGAAGACCCCACACTCTGTCATTTGGTGGTTTCGGGATGGGCAATGTCTGAGCACCAGAGCTTCATTTGATAAACCCCTAAACAACATCCTACAACCCCTACAGACCATGCGTTAAACCTTCAGCCCTAAACCCTTTAAACCCCACCTTAAACTACCATAACCTGCTTTTTTGAAGGTCCTTATTCTACATTCGAATATGGAATTTATAGGGGCCCTGCAAAAACAGCTGGTCTGGGGTAGGTTAAGGTAATGTAGGGCCCAGAATAGGGTTTTGGGGGCTCCCTAGTATAATTACTGTATAATATACCACCAAGCCCTATTATACTTATTAAGGCCCCTATATTAAACTATCCAAAACCCCAAAGTCAGACCCAACCCTCAACCCACGGATTCCTAGCACTCCAAAATGGGGTTTAGTGTTTAGGGTTTTGGGTGTAGGGTTTATGGTTTAGGGTTTAAGGTTAAAAGACTTGGTACACTTCTCTGGCTTAGGGTTTAGGGTTTAGGGTTTTGGGTTTGGGGCTTAAGGTTTAGGGTTTAGGGTTACGGACCGTTACGGATGTAGGCTTCAGGGTGACGGACTTTTGACCCCGCAGATTGTATGCTTCGATCTACGAGCCCTAAACCCTTAACCTGAGACTCAAACCTAAACCCCAAACCCCTCAAATGCTAAACGCCAAATCCTAAACCCTACACCCTAAACCCTACATCCTGGACCCCAAACACCCTAAACCCTACATCCTAAACCCTAATCCCTATAAACCCTAAACCCTCAACCCTAAACCCTATACCCTACACCCTAAACCCTATACCCTAAACACTACATCCTATACCCTAATCCCTATAAACCCTAAACCCTCAACCCTAAACCCTAAACCCTCAACCCTAAACCCTACACCCTAAACCCTACATCCTATACCCTAATCCCTATAAGTCCTCAACCCTCAACCCGAAGTCCTAACATAAAACGCCCGGGCTGCCGACCTCGGAAGGCCCGGATGCGCCATCCCAGATGTACGCCGTGATCGGTCGCGTGCGGCCGAGGGACTGTCGGCTGCCATCGTAGGTGAACCTGAATAGAGTCTAGGGTAATTTGGAGTTTAGGATAATATAGAGTGTAGGATAATATGGAGTCTACGATAATTTGGAGTTTAGGGCCTAAACCCCCCTGAATTTGGAGTTTAGGATAATTTGGAATTTAGGGCCCATAGGGTTTAGGGCTTAGGGCTTAGGGTTTGGAGTTTAGGGCCTATAGGGTTTAGGGTTTAGGGTTTGGGGTTTAAGGCCTAAAACTGTGAACTTTAAACCATAAATCCGAGCAGCTTGGACAGGTTCACCGGATGATGGTCTTTGTTCTCATACACGCAGGCAACGCGGTGCCACCTCCACCTCAGGTGTAATTTAGGGTTCCTACAGTTTAGGGATTAGGGTTTAGCGCCCTTCTAAACACCCTCATTCCCGCACCCCAGGCCCTATACATCCTAAAACCCTTAACCCTCACAATCCTTAACACCCGCAGCGCTACATCGTGAGCGCCCTCTAAACCCTAAAGCACTGCATCGTGGCCAACAATGTGGGTAGTTCGTTAAGTCAGGGTCTCTTTAAGGATAAGCTCTCCATACCCTAAACCCTAAGCCCGAAAAGTACTAATGTAGGGGCCTCAATAACTAGAATAGGGTTGGGGGGACTGGGTATATTATACTATACTTATAATAAGGAACTCCCCAAAACCCTATTCTATTATACTATACTTATAATAAGGAACCACCCCCCCAAAACCCTATTCGAATTATTAAGGCCCCTACATTATTTCGGGAACCCTAAACCCTAAACCCTAAACCCTAAACCCTAAACCCTAAACCCTAAACCCTACACTATTTTGAGAACCGAAAAGGGGACCCCAAATTGGAGAACTACCCAAGCTACTCAGGACAGGGGCCCAGTCAGAGTCACCATCAGATCAGGGGCTCCGGCTTTGGGGGGTTTCGGGTTTAGTGGGTTTTAGGGTTTAGTGGGCTTCAGGGTTTCGGGCTTTAAAGGATTTTAGGGTTTAGGGTTTTAGGGTTTAGGGTTTATACGAAATACCCATCCAATAACAACTAGGCTCTGAAGTAACCAGGGAGAAAAAGTATAAACTGTTATGTCATAATCGGTCCTTTGAAGGCGGTCCAAACATGCTTAACATATGGTACTCCAAACCCAGGACAAGGAAGAGAAGTACGGCATCGCATGCAATTGGGGTTTAGGGTTTAGGAAATTGCCAAATCAGTAAACAAAGTAAACAAGAGCATAGAGCAAGAGGCAGTATATAAGATTGACCTAAATGAGAGGAAGAATAAGAAACCTATTAGCAACGGCAACGAATAGTACCAACAAGCACGACTAAGACTAATGGCCGTAAAGAGAGTAATAGTCATCGTAAGAGTCGTCGGAACAATCTAAACAGCCATGAAAGCAGCCGGAAGCCCTCCGTTCAGTATCACCTAATGTAAGGGCCTTAATAATTAGAATAGGGGTTTGGGGTAAATTATACTATAACTATGATAAGGAACCCCCAAACCCCCCCCCAAAAACCCTATTCTTTTAGTTAAGGCCCCTATATTAAATTCCCATGCCAGCCCACTCCGCATGCGTAGCATTCAGCACCGTGAGCATCCCAGGCCCATAGGAGGCCTCGCAGGATCAGGGCTAAGGGGTTGGGGTTTAGGGTTTAGGGTTTAGGGTTTAGGGTTTAGGGTTTAGGGTTTAGGGTTTAGGGTTTAGGGTTTAGGGTTTAGAGTATGGTGGGGGTTATTCAGTGGCCTGAAAGCCTTTAAGTACTTAAGACAAGGGATTGGGAACATCATAGCTATCACTCGTTCCTAAGACTCCCATGCGTCGAGATTACTTAATTTTGGCGAGGTAGAGTAGGGGGAAAAGTGGGGGGGTAGGCCGCAGTAAAGTTGGGTAGGGAAGGGTGCAGTAGGGCGTCGTTACCCAATAATCAGGTACGTAGGATAGTAGTTATGTAGGCTGCTATTTGGGAGAGTATATGATTATTAAATTAGGTACTTGGACCCTTGGGGTATGGCATCCCCGTCACCCTGATCCCGGAAACTCCTCAACCCTGAACCCCAAGCCAACGATCCCTGGGGTTTAGGGTTTAGGGTTTAGGGGTTTGATGATGAGAATGGGGTTTGGGGGTATATACTATACTTATAATAGGGAACCACCACAGCTGTAGTCGTAATTATTGAGAACCCTATAGTAAACCCACTGATCCAAATCCTGTACAGTAATTACCTGGCCTCCGAACTCTAACGGCTTAGGATTTAGGGTTTAGGGTAAGGGTTTAGGGTTGGGAGTCTAGGCTTTCGGGCTCAGGGTTTAGACTTTAGGGCAATAGGGTGTCGCGTTTACAGCAGCTCACAGTTTAGGATTCAGAAGCTTTGGTGTAGGCTTAGCACTGTTTATCCTAGCAAACCCCCACCCCTGAACCCTAAACCCTAAACCCTTAAACCCATCTCTAAACCCTAAGCCCTAAACCCGAATCCCTAAACCCAAAGCCCTATGTCCCTACACCCTAAACCCAAAACCCTATCCCTAAACCCTAAACCCTAAACCCTAAACCCTATCCCTAAACCCTAAACCCTAAACCCTATATCCCTACACCCTAAACCCGTAACCCCAAACTTTCCGAGTCCCAGGGCCTCTCGAAAAGCACTCCAGGCCGGCTGGGGGAACTTCCAACCGGGTGGGCGCCCCTCGTAGGTGGCGGGACCTTCAGAGGGCTTAGGGCTTAGGCCCTAAACCCTAAACCCCTAAACCCTAAAACCCTAAAACCCCGAAACCCTAAGCCCTAAACCCTAAACCCTGAAACCCTAAACCCTAAACCCTAAACCCTAAACCCTGAACCCTAAACCCCTAAACCCTAAAACCCTAAACCCTAAACCCTATGGGGGTTTGCCCGAACCTGCAAAGGGAAGGAAAAGTGCTGACCACCAGCCAAGAAGAACCAGGCTATAAGGAATTAGAAGGGCAGGTGAAGAAGGCGATCCAATTTTAATTTTTTTTTGTTTTTTTGGGTGGTCCTTATTAGAACTTTACTATAAAGGACCCCAAAACCCTATTCTGATTGTTAAGGCTCCTATCTTATGTCAAGCAGGCGGTTCTGGTTTTTGTACCTGGGCAAGACCTGTTGGGCCAGTGAAGCAGGACGATCCAGTGAAGAATTTCTGGTCTAAGGTGTTCTTTAGCCCTGACGGCTTGGAGTTCAAGGTTTAGGGCTTCGGGTTTAGTGTTTAGGGCTTAGGGCTTAGGGCTTAGGGTTTAGGGTTTAGGGTTTAGGGTGTAGGGTGTAGGGTTTAGGGGGAAACGGGTTCGGGGTCGTAGGCTTGCGGTCCCTAAACCCTAAACCCTAAACCCTAAACCCTAAACCCTAAACCCTAAACCCTAAACTTAAAGGAACCCTCAAAGGGTTCCCTCCGGTCGGCACCGCTTCAGCCACATGCAAGCAACTCGAACTCTGAACGGTTTAGGGTTTAGGGTTTAGGGTTTAGGGTTTAGGGTTTAGGGTTTAGGGGCGTAGTCTGCGCCTGAACCAGGCCTAGGTTTTTGCAGCGCCTGCAAATTCCACGGTAGGTTTGTTTCTGGGGGCGCTACGAGGAAGTAGCTTCGAGGGTTTAAGGGTTACGGTTTAGGCTCAAGGTTTAATTAGGGTTTGAAGGTTTCTATTTCTAGTTGAGGGTTTAAGGATGTAGGGTTTAGGGTTGAATTAGGGTTTGAAGGTTTCTAGTTGATGGTTTACGGATGTAGGGTTTAGGGTTTAATTGGGGTTTGAAGGTTTCTGATTGAGGGCTTAAGGATATAGGGTTTACGGTTTAATTAGGGTTTGAAGGTTTCTAGTTGAGGGTTTAGGCTTATATGTAATTTAGTTTTAGTTAACATAATAAGGAAACCGATTGTTCTCATTACAGACCCCTACACAACCAAACCCTAAGCCCTTAACCCCAAACCCCAAACCCCAAACCCCAAACCCTAAACCTAAACCCCAAACCCTAAACACTAAACCCTAAACCCAAAACCCTAAAACCCTCAACCCTATACCCTAAACCCCCAACCCTAAACCCTAAACAAACCCTAAAAGCCTCAACCCTAAACCCTAACCCGCCGCTGTTCTACTTCGACGAGAGGCGCTCGGAGGAAGGTGCTGCCCCAAGGCTTCATCAGGATTTTAGGATTTAGGGCTTAGGGTTTAGGGCTTTAGGGCTTTAGGGTGTTAGGGCTTTGGGTTGAGGGTTTTAGGGGTTTGGGGTTTAAGGTGTTAGGGTTTATAGGGTTTAGGGTTTCGAGGGCTTAAGGTTGAGGGTTTTAGGGCTTAGGGCTTAGAGCATAGGGTTTAGGGTTCAGGGCTTAGGGTCTAGGGAGGTTTCTCTACTCGTGCAAGGCCAATTCAGTATCGTCGCAAGTCAAGACCATCGCATCAATCTCACAGCACCTTCTACATAGAAGATCATGGGACTTAGTAAGTAAAGTTATAAATACCCTAATTGGGGTTATATTTATAGCTACCTTATTTATAACCCTAGCTACTAAGTCCCATGATCCTCCAAGTATCAGTCTCTAGGGACTTCTAGGTCCGGAAACCATGACCACGGACAAAATCCCAAACCCTAAACCCAAAGCCGTGGCCTGACTTGACCACCCATAGGCCCCATAGTAGTTCCTTTTGGGGATTACCTTCTAGGATTCTATCTACGAACCCCAAAAAGGAACTACTTTAGGGCCTATGGGTAGACCCAAACACTCCAAAGTACCATTGTTATGGGGGATTAGACCCTAAACCCTAAACCCTAAACCCTAAACCCTAAACCCTAAACCCTAAACCCTAAACGCATCCCACAAGCAACCCTGTAAAGATGAGAGCGCGGAAGTCAGAGAGCCGGGCCACAAAGAGTCGAATCGGGGTTCTTGGTTTAGGGTTTAGGGTTTAGGGTTTAGGGGGGTTTAGGGTTTAGGGTTTAGAGTTTAGGGGGGTTTAGGGTTTAGGGTTTAGGGGGGTTTAGGTTTAGGGTTTAGGGTGGTTTAGGGGTTTGGGGTTTAGGGTTTTTGGGAGTTCCTGGGGGTTCCTTTCAAGGGTTGCTTGGGGTTTGGGGCTTGCGGGGTTATAGGGTTTAGGATTAGGCCGTCTCTGACAATGCTTGCTTCATAGCTCAGAGGGTGTTGTGGGGATTGTTAGATGGGATGAGAAGGTTTTGTGGGGCTGTATTGCGTGTTACATATAAGGGTTACAGAACGGTTTAGGGATTGTGTAACCGCCAGCTCTGAAGATCAACTACCCGCTGCTGTTGGACAGAAGGCGACTTTTGTAATTGAGTAAGGTGCTTATGGTGTCGGGGTTCGGGCTGTTAACTTGTGGGCTTGAGATGTTGGTGGTCTTGATGAAGCGGCTAGGTTTGCAAGGGGTTCGTAAAAGGTTTCTGGGAGGGGCTTAGGGGGTTTAGGTTCATCAGGGCTACTGAATTAATATGGTCTAGGATGATAGCTGTACGTCTTAGCAGCGGTTCGACCTCTATACTAGAAACAGATCTTTTGCGCGAGTTGCAGCTAATCCGGAACTCGACTTTTGACTTAAAGTATATCGCTTCACTCAGGTCCCGGCTCGTGCAAACAAAAGCCGAGTCATGACGATGACACAGAATCAGAAGGGACGATGGTGACAATGGCGGTTATGATGGCGATGAGATGGTTTTGATGGTGATGAACATGACCAACAGAATCATGATGGCCATGACCCTAAACCCTAAACCCTAAACCCTTGACGATCTTGATGACCATGATGACCTTAACAAGTTTCCGGCCCAAGAAACCCTCAGGGTCCATGTACCCAAATAATATATACTTTGGCCTTCATGTAGTCCCTACATAGGTACTTTAGGGCCAATGTATATACTATTTGGGTACATGGACCCTTAAACCCTAAACCCCTAAACCCTAAACCCTAAAACCCTAAAGCCTTAAAAGGAACCCTTAAACGAACCCTATATTAGGTACATGGACCCTTAGGGTAATGTCGCATGCACTGCGAGCCAGCAGTC